GTGTGTGTGAGAGTGTGTGCGTGTGTGTGTGTGTGAGAGTGAGTGAGTGTGAATGTGTCTGAGTGAGTGAGTGAGTGTGAGAGAGTGAGTGAGTGAGTGAGTGAGTGTGTGTGAGTGAGTGAGTGAGTGAGAATGTGTCTGAGTGAGTGAGTGAGTGTGAGAGTGAGTGAGTGAGTGAGTGTGTGAGAGAGAGAGAGAGAGAGAGAGAGAGAGAGAGAGAGAGAGAGAGAGAGAGAGAGAGAGAGAGAGAGAGAGAGAGAGAGAGAGAGAGAGAGAGAGAGAGAGAGAGAGAGAGAGAGAGAGAGAGAGAGAGAGAGAGAGAGAGAGAGAGAGAGAGAGAGAGAGAGAGAGAGAGAGAGAGAGAGAGAGAGAGAGAGAGAGAGAGAGAGAGAGAGAGAGAGAGAGAGAGAGAGAGAGAGAGAGAGAGAGAGAGAGAGAGAGAGAGAGAGAGAGAGAGAGAGAGAGAGAGAGAGAGAGAGAGAGAGAGAGAGAGAGAGAGAGAGAGAGAGAGAGAGAGAGAGAGAGAGAGAGAGAGAGAGAGAGAGAGAGAGAGAGAGAGAGAGAGAGAGAGAGAGAGAGAGAGAGAGAGAGAGAGAGAGAGAGAGAGAGAGAGAGAGAGAGAGAGAGAGAGAGAGAGAGAGAGAGAGAGAGAGAGAGAGAGAGAGAGAGAGAGAGAGAGAGAGAGAGAGAGAGAGAGAGAGAGAGAGAGAGAGAGAGAGAGAGAGAGAGAGAGAGAGAGAGAGAGAGAGAGAGAGAGAGAGAGAGAGAGAGAGAGAGAGAGAGAGAGAGAGAGAGAGAGAGAGAGAGAGAGAGAGAGAGAGAGAGAGAGAGAGAGAGAGAGAGAGAGAGAGAGAGAGAGAGAGAGAGAGAGAGAGAGAGAGAGAGAGAGAGAGAGAGAGAGAGAGAGAGAGAGAGAGAGAGAGAGAGAGAGAGAGAGAGAGAGAGAGAGAGAGAGAGAGAGAGAGAGAGAGAGAGAGAGAGAGAGAGAGAGAGAGAGAGAGAGAGAGAGAGAGAGAGAGAGAGAGAGAGAGAGAGAGAGAGAGAGAGAGAGAGAGAGAGAGAGAGAGAGAGAGAGAGAGAGAGAGAGAGAGAGAGAGAGAGAGAGAGAGAGAGAGAGAGAGAGAGAGAGAGAGAGAGAGAGAGAGAGAGAGAGAGAGAGAGAGAGAGAGAGAGAGAGAGAGAGAGAGAGAGAGAGAGAGAGAGAGAGAGAGAGAGAGAGAGAGAGAGAGAGAGAGAGAGAGAGAGAGAGAGAGAGAGAGAGAGAGAGAGAGAGAGAGAGAGAGAGAGAGAGAGAGAGAGAGAGAGAGAGAGAGAGAGAGAGAGAGAGAGAGAGAGAGAGAGAGAGAGAGAGAGAGAGAGAGAGAGAGAGAGAGAGAGAGAGAGAGAGAGAGAGAGAGAGAGAGAGAGAGAGAGAGAGAGAGAGAGAGAGAGAGAGAGAGAGAGAGAGAGAGAGAGAGAGAGAGAGAGAGAGAGAGAGAGAGAGAGAGAGAGAGAGAGAGAGAGAGAGAGAGAGAGAGAGAGAGAGAGAGAGAGAGAGAGAGAGAGAGAGAGAGAGAGAGAGAGAGAGAGAGAGAGAGAGAGAGTGTGTGTGTGTGTGTGTGTCTGTCTGTCTGTGTGAGTGTGTGTGTCTGTGTGAGTGTGAGTGTGAGTGCATGTGTGTGAGAGAGAGACTGACCCCTCGCTGTCCAGAACATCTTTAATGCTGGCTTTAGTGATAATGGCATCATCACATTTAAACCACTGGTCCTTGTGCTGGCGGATGAACGTGGTGTAGTGGCCGCTCTCCAGCGTGCCCTGATGATTGACCACCGCAAACAGAGAATACCTGCAGCAGACACACAGGCGCGTCACAGGACCAATCATCACGCCAGATCACACTGAATGCAGCAGACGCTCACTCACTTGTTTTCGTTGTTCAGCGAGTCGACAGGCTGCTGGTACTGTCCGTTCATCCGGCTCTCTTTACTGGGACACAAACAGGACAGACGTCAAGACATTCTCTTACTGTCTGCACTGTGAGCTAGAGATGTAACCGTATGAAAATTTGGTAACACTTTAGAATAGGGAACACTTATTCACAATTAACTACAACTTTTCCCTCAATAAACTCCTAATTTGCTGTTTATTAATAGTTAGTAAGGTAGTTGTTAAGTTTAGGTATTGAGTAGGATTAGGGATGTAGAATAAGGCATTAATATGTGCTTAATTAGTACTAATAAATGCTTAATATTCTAGTAATATGCATGCAAACAAGCGACTAGTTAAGAGACCCTAAAATAAAGTGTTACCGTAAATTTCTTATCACGATTATAGTGACCTAAATTATCAGTAGGGCTGCAAACTGTCTGCACTGTGAGCTAGAGATGTAACCGTATGAAAATTTGGTAACACTTTAGAATAGGGAACACTTATTCACAATTAACTACAACTTTTCCCTCAATAAACTCCTAATTTGCTGTTTATTAATAGTTAGTAAGGTAGTTGTTAAGTTTAGGTATTGAGTAGGATTAGGGATGTAGAATAAGGCATTAATATGTGCTTAATTAGTACTAATAAATGCTTAATATTCTAGTAATATGCATGCAAACAAGCGACTAGTTAAGAGACCCTAAAATAAAGTGTTACCGTAAATTTCTTATCACGATTATAGTGACCTAAATTATCAGTAGGGCTGCAAACCGATTAGTCGCGATTAATCGATTCAAAATAAAAGTTTGTTTACATACTATATGTGTGTGTAATGTGTAGATTTTTTATGTATATAAAAAAAATTATAATAATGATAATATAAACACACCCATTCATGTATATATTAAAAATATGTTAGATTTATATGCAAAATATTTAAACTTCTATATAATATAAATTATATACAAGTGTTTACATAAAATACATAAAACACACATACATTTAAAAAAAATATATACATACATGTGTCTGTATTTATACATAATAAATGTAGACAGTACACACACACACACACATACAGTATGCAAACTTTTATTTTGAATTGATTAATCGCGACTAATCGTTTTACGGTACGGTATTGTTAAAATGTGCTGAAAATGTTGAAAAGTACTGACAAATAATTTCACCAAGTTTTGTATTTTAAAATTAGGGCTGTGCAATTAAAGTTTCAATTTTGGCCTCCAACGATTATGAAAATACAATTATCGAGATAAAACGATTATTCCGCCCCCTTTCCAGCAGACTTTCGCTCCTCCATAAAAGCCCATTTTCACGTGTAAATCAGTAAAATCATGTAACGTGACTCTTGCAAAATGGGACGTGCTTGAGTTACTAAAGTTGATTAGATTTATTAATGTTTTTAAAAGCGCGAAAGAGAACTTGTGCCGTTCCTCAAGAGGATTTCTATGCATGCGCTCAGAGACCTGTAAAGTCATCTTTTAGGGCCTAAACCGTCAAATATATGCAAAAATGCATCAAAATGCGGCGCTTAGTGATTATTCACATAAACCTTCGTCGGTTATGTAATAAATGAATGTAAACAGACGAGAATGAAAATACATGAGTAACAGTGAATTGAATCCGTGCGGCTCTTAAAGTGACAGCAGCTATATTCCTGCTTCCGACTGTGCGCTTAATATTAATCAAACAACAAAAGACAAAAACAAAACCACTCACTGCTCTTCACAGAAGGACTTTTGTAGCTTTCATAAGAAATAAAGCAAGTTTAATTCTTACAGTGAAGACTATGCTGTTTTATTTTACATTTGATTATTTAATTTCTATAGCAGGCTGTTAGCTGCATACTTGAGACTTGCATAAAAAAAAAATTGGTTACATGGCCCACTAATAATTGTGTTATATAATCGTGATTACAATATTGAACAAAATAATCGTGATTATGATTTGTCATAATCGAGCAGCCCTACTGAAACGGTTTATCTAATGGCATGCATGAAATGTTCAAATAAAGCTTAGAAAAAGTTTCATAAAATGGTAAACCTCGCATTTCAGCCTTTATATAAAGAAAAGGGTTCAGTCAAAATGATAATTGATTAATAAATTATGCATTTTGTCTGCACGATAAATAATTGTAGATACTTTATCTGAATTGTTCTAATGTGAAGAATCCAAATAAGTTTGTTTTTCATCAACCGGTTAAAATGTACAGCAGGGCATGCAAATTCGGTCTATTTTATGTCCAGACAAATGTGAACGTAACTCTCTGTAAATCCAGTCTCTGACAGCAGGTGGCGCTTCTGGAGCAGCAGAACTACAGCGGTTTCTCATAACCTCAGCGTTGCGATTAAAACACTACTTTATTAAGGATCACATGGAGCGAAGATGAAAACCAAACGCCATCTAATCTTTTCTGAAGACAGTCAGAACCTTCAGAGGTACATCTATATAATTAATTCATTCGTATATTCATTCCATTAGCACTCTTTTAAAACCTCCCAGCTTTTCCGCAGTGTTTTCACACAAAACTAAACGTCTCTGCTGCTGTGCGCAAGTGAGACTGTTACTGAAAACTGCTTTATGCTGGACAGGGTTTATTTATCCTCAGTTGTTCAAATCACGGTAATCGAATTCGGTTTGAATGATAATCCCTACAGTAAGCACGGTGAAGGCTCGTACCTGGAGGCCATGAAGGGCGTCATGTCCAGCTCTAGAGGAAAGGACACATAGGTGGTGATCTTCCGCCGGAGCTTTGCCGAATGCTCGAACCGCTGGACAGGAGAAACCAGAGCAATCAAACACACAGACCTTCTGACGCGTCTGATCTACACTCAACCTGCTGATGGAAATATTTCAACTACCTTTGAAAAATATTCAATGTTTTGTCAGATCTTGGCCAGACTGTACAGATGCATCAATATAAAAACACTGTCTGATGATGACTATATAACTGATAATTATTCTAATATTATGGCCAATACCAATAAATGTATAATAATAATAGTAATTATGACAATAATATTTATTTGTTTATTTATGATGTAACACCAGATCAGCAGCAATGGCTTTATTCAAGGCAAAATGAACAGTATTTACATTTTTGCCATTATTACTGTTATTAATACAAAAAAAATAAATGAAATGTCTATTGAAATTGACGTTCCATACTACTCCGGGTAAAACAATAAATAATATGTTTTTACAGTAGTAGTAGCAGCAGCAATGATAATACAAATAATAATAAAAACCTAAAATAAATGTGAAAATGGAGTCTGACATTAAAACCAATTACTGAGTAATTTAGCTTTAAACTGAATTTTAATACTTCTAAACACTCCTCATTTAATATTTAATAATAATAATACCAACATTAAATAATTAATGTTTAATTATAAATAAATTATGTAAAGAAATATAACAATTTTATACTAATGTGTATAAAACAAAAATAATAAAATAAGCTATTAATACAGTAATAATATTACAATTAATAATAATAATAATAATTAAGAAATTTGTGAAAAGTGAATTCTGGTATCAAAACTAATTACTGAGTAATTTTGTTTTAAATACTACACAGTAGTACAGAATTTTTATCTTTCTTAATCCTCATTTAATACTTAAAAATAATATTATTTTTGGCAACATTTAATAATTAATATCAAATGATAACTAATTAACTGATGTATAGACATATTACAATTATATACTAATGTGAATAAAACAAATAATAAAATATTACAGTAATAATAATAGTAACAAAAATAAAAAATTTGAAAAGTGAATTATGAAATAAAACTAATTACTGTGTATAATTGTTTTTACATAGTACGCAGTATTATAGAATTGTGATATTTCTATACATTTATAATTTAATATTAATATATGAATATTATTTTAATAACATGAATAAAGATTAAAATTTAATAATATTAATAACAGTAGTTATAATATTTACCATTATTGTTATCATCATAAACTTTTAGAATTACACTTGTGAAAATAATAATATTAACAGTGAATTCTGGATTCAAAACAGTGCAATGTATTAAAATAGCCATTCATTTTTATATTTGCTAAAAACTAAATGTAACATGCAAAGATTATCTAAACATGAGAAAACACAGGAGAAATAAGCATGCACAATTATAAATACATATGATATTGCTCAGTATATAAACATGATAAGCTCAATTTTATCAGATATAATTTAAATGATCAATAATATTGACTTTTAACTGATATGTCATGTAGCCCTACTTCAAAGTGGCTCATATGCAATGCACTTGGATGTGTAACACGGACTGTAATGCATGCACACTCACTTTGAGGTGGAAACACGCCACGATAGGAAGCCTCTTCATCGTCAGCTGCTTGGTGGACTCCTGGTAACTATGGCAACCGCTGCATTTGATCTTGGCGCTACTTCCTAAGTGTTCGGGTCGAGTGAACCTGCAGTGCAGAAGCGTGAGTCAGTGGCGATCGCAGACACGGACACGGCTGTCTGTACGGCTGCAGGTGCGTCTGTACCTGCGTAAGCAGTCTGTGAGTGTGGTGGCTCCGCTCGGGTGACTGTCTCCGTTCACCACACTGCCGTCGCTGCCTGGGCTGAGCGGCCAGAACGGGGTGGATGACCCCGGCAGATCCAGGCTGATGTCCCAGAACGGGTCTATCGTTGTGGAAACCCCACTGCGGACGAGAAAACACCAAATGTGACCCTGGAGCACAAAACCAGTCATAAGGGTCAATTTTTTAAAATTGAGATTTATGCATCATCTGCTGAATAAATATTAGGATAGGACAATATTTGGCCGAGATACAACTATTTGAAAATCTGGAATCTGAGGGTGCAAAAAAATCCAAATATTGAGAAAATCATCTTTAAAGTTGTCCAAATGAAGTTCTTAGCAATGCATATTACTAATCAAACATTAAGTTTTGATATATTTACGGTAGGAAACTTACAAAATATCTTCATGGAACATGATCTTTACTTAATATCCTAATGATTTTTGGGATAACATTTTTTTAATAATTTTGACCCATACAATGTATTCTTGGCTATTGCTACAAATCTACGTGCTGCTTATTTTTTTTAAAGAGTTTTCTACATGCATTAAAAGCTGGACAATCCAATAAAATATGGGAATCTTGCAAAACACGCACTGAGTAGGGTCTTCACTTATGACTGGTTTTGTGCTCACAAATAATCAGCAAAAAGAGCAGCGCTTCCATCTGCTTGTCAGTCTTGTACTGCACAGCCGTAAAAAACCCCACTAATTAATTAGGTGGAAGTCATTAAAACTCTACTTGATAGAAGCAGCGGCACTTAAATAATCAAGACGCAGCAGGAACTGAATGGGCGGAGTGCAATACCTCTGTTAAACACAGGGTGGCGCTGAGGAGCATCAATGACCTGTGCATTTCACACAGGATCTGAACACTCCAGAATATTCAATGGCATTCAAACTGAGTTACATATAGAACACAGGAGACAGACACCGGCTCTGTTCCAAAACCTAGTGAGCTGCCTACGTAGGGAGCATTATAAGGCAACACAGATTTGATGACCGTTTCAAAAAGTAGGAAGGATAATTATGCAGCCTACCAAGATACCACATGTGGACCTCAAAATTAAACGCTGATTGTATACCTAATTTATTCAATACCAAAAAGTACTGATAAAGAATTAAAATGAATATTAATCAAATATAATTTTTTTTTAAGTATCTATTTTCTATCCAATATTTTCTGAGAAAAAAGTACTGATAAAATTCCAATAAATAAAGTTTAAATACTGTGTAAAATATTTTAATGGACAATAAATGTTTTTTTTATATTATATTTGTGTGCAAAAAGTACAAAGAAAAAAATTCTAAAAAATTAAATAACATTTATCTAAAGTATTTAACACAACATTTTTATATTTAATTTATTAGAATTTTTTCTCTGTACTTTTTTGCACACAAATATTTTTAAAAAAAAGCATTTATTGTCCATTAAAATATTTTAGACAGTATTTAAATATTAAATATGTAATTTATTGGAATTTTTATCAGTACTTTTTTGCACACACAAAATAAAAATATTTATCTAAAGTATTTAACAAAAAATTTTATATTTATTTTGTGTGTGCAAAAAATTACTTATAACAATTCTAATAAACTAAATATTTAAATACTGTGTAAAATTAAATAAAATATTTTTCTTATATTTGTGTGTGCAAAAAGCACTGATAAAATGTGAATGACAGAGGTTTTTATTTTTGGGTGAACTGTCCCTTTAAAAAAATACCGTATTCACAAACAAACTAGCAGAATAACACATCAACACATTCAATTCAATGTATCCATTTAAGCGAGAACAGATGCACGAAGGATTGACACGGATATAGGCTCTGCTCGATTCATCTGCGCTGCGTCGGCTCTTACTGGCAGACTTGGCAGGTGACGTCAGACTGCAGGCCTCCCGTGAAGATTTGGTCAATGATGCAGCTGCAGTGGTTTGGGTTGTTGGCTTTTTTCCCATTGTCATCTCCTTAGTGGACATGGAAGCAGCATATGAACACACACACACACACACACACACAGAGAGAGAAAGAGAAGGTCTGATTAGAAAGCAGCGCTCGGTTTGCTGCAGAAACACCCCTCCCTTCACTTTCACACTGCAGGAGGAAGAATGAGGTCCGTCTCTTCTTCTCCAGAGCGTCTGATTCCTTTACTCTTTGACTCGGACTTCACTGCGTCAGGACATGCGCACCGTCAATGTTTAAAGTTTTTCACAGGAAGTGTTTCATCCTACACAGTCACGAATCTACGAATGAACAGCTCTTACAGGAGAACCGCTGACATGCTATTACAGCGCTTGCAAGTCTTCTTTACCAGGCCCGGCTCTCACACACACACACACACACACTCACTCACTCACTCAGAGACACACTCACACACACACACTCACTCACTCACTCAGAGACACACTCACACACACACACTCACTCACTCACTCAGAGACACACTCACACACACACACTCACTCACTCACTCAGAGACACACTCACACACACACACTCACTCACTCACTCAGAGACACACTCACACACACACACTCACTCACTCACTCAGAGACACACTCACACACACACACTCACTCACTCACTCAGAGACACACTCACACACACACACTCACTCACTCACTCAGAGACACACTCACACACACACACTCACTCACTCACTCAGAGACACACTCACACACACACACTCACTCACTCACTCAGAGACACACTCACACACACACACTCACTCACTCACTCAGAGACACACTCACACACACACACTCACTCACTCACTCAGAGACACACTCACACACACACACTCACTCACTCACTCAGAGACACACTCACACACACACACTCACTCACTCACTCAGAGACACACTCACACACACACACTCACTCACTCACTCAGAGACACACTCACACACACACACTCACTCACTCACTCAGAGACACACTCACACACACACACTCACTCACTCACTCAGAGACACACTCACACACACACACTCACTCACTCACTCAGAGACACACTCACACACACACACTCACTCACTCACTCAGAGACACACTCACACACACACACTCACTCACTCACTCAGAGACACACTCACACACACACACTCACTCACTCACTCAGAGACACACTCACACACACACACTCACTCACTCACTCAGAGACACACTCACACACACACACTCACTCACTCACTCAGAGACACACTCACACACACACACTCACTCACTCACTCAGAGACACACTCACACACACACACTCACTCACTCACTCAGAGACACACTCACACACACACACTCACTCACTCACTCAGAGACACACTCACACACACACACTCACTCACTCACTCAGAGACACACTCACACACACACACTCACTCACTCACTCAGAGACACACTCACACACACACACTCACTCACTCACTCAGAGACACACTCACACACACACACTCACTCACTCACTCAGAGACACACTCACACACACACACTCACTCACTCACTCAGAGACACACTCACACACACACACTCACTCACTCACTCAGAGACACACTCACACACACACACTCACTCACTCACTCAGAGACACACTCACACACACACACTCACTCACTCACTCAGAGACACACTCACACACACACACTCACTCACTCACTCAGAGACACACTCACACACACACACTCACTCACTCACTCAGAGACACACTCACACACACACACTCACTCACTCACTCAGAGACACACTCACACACACACACTCACTCACTCACTCAGAGACACACTCACACACACACACTCACTCACTCACTCAGAGACACACTCACACACACACACTCACTCACTCACTCAGAGACACACTCACACACACACACTCACTCACTTACAGAGACACACACACACACACACAGACGTACACACACACAGACACACACACACACGCGCGCGCACACACACACACACACACACACACACACACACACACAGAGACAAGCACACACACACACACACTCACTCACTCACTTACTCACACACACAAAGACAGACACACACTCTCTCACACACACACACACACACACACACACACACACACACACACACACACAGAGACACACACACACACAGAGACACACACACAAACACACACACAC